CTAAAACTGAGATACTTACTAAAACTGCCTATGCTGTTCCTCCCAGTAGTGGTTGGTTGTGTATCAACATAAACAAGAAGGCTCTAAACACTAATGTGCTAACTCCTATTGGTCTTTCAAGACTCTGGTTAAATGTTACTCCCTACTGGCAAGAAGTCTGGACAACCACAGACCAGTATGGAGTGAGTCCCTGCTGCATTCGCCCATAATCACCTCCCCCATGGTGTTTATCACACATCATGGTTGCTTTTTCAAGTGTCTGTCTTTCCTGCTAGAAGGAATAAGTTCCTGAGCAAGCAACAGAACCTCCAGTACCAAGCACAGTGCCTGGATATAGAAGAAAAGCCCTCTACGGGCTGTTTATAGCCCATTTAGCAAGAGTGACAGTGCCTAAGAACACACAGATGAAGGCAAAGAGACAACTGCTATTTTGTTTGCTGAAGGAGAAATATCTACAGGATCCGGAAGAAATTACACAGGCCTATGGGCATTTTTAGGTGAGTTTAGGAACACTGAACAGGAGACAGGAGAATTTAGGTAATGTCCCACAAACTGTCCCATTTATCTGGAGCAAAAGCTGGTGAAGAAGGGCAGAGGCAGTAGGATAGCTGTGCCCCTCTGGCCATTCTCCATGGAGAGCAGATCTGGTCACAGAAAAGGATAGTCTAGAATTTTGCAGCCTTTTGGGATTCTGGAAAGAAGACACCGTTCCTATGTCAGTCCTATTAAATATATTTCTTTCTGCTGGGTGGTGGCACATGCCTTTAATCCCAGCACTCAGGAGGCAGAGGCAGGCAGATCTCTGTGAGATCAAGGCCAGCCTGGTTTACGTAGTGAGTTCCAGGTGGGCTAGGACTAGAGAGACCCTGTCTCAAAAGGACAAAAAGAAAAATTTAAAAAAAAATACATAAACATACACATATATATACATATATTTCTCTCCTTTTTATAGTTATTCCCTTTTGCTTTGTTCTCAGCAGACTAAAATAAGCTATTCATTCTTCTCAGTTGAGAAATTTTTGAAGCTTTAACATCATCTCAAAGCTGGGGATAAGTTCAGTGATAGGCAGCTTCGAACAGGTGCAAGACCCTGGTTTGAGACATAACACTGCAAAACCAAGTCATTCCAACATCTCACAAAGCAGTAACAGTGGGCTATTCTCTAGAAGAAAGAAGTGAGTCAGACCAGCAGGGGACACCGTGAGAAGGCTTGAGACAGGTCCACCATCCCTGATCACCTGTGTGATCAGTTGCCATGCCCTGCTCACACCAAATTATCTCTAGTTGTTGGACTACACCACATGCACTTGGGGCCTAGGTCACAGAGCTGGCAAGTGAAAAGTAGATCCAGGGATAATTAAGAACAATGTGACTCATCACAGATTGAGTAATCTCTGCCCAGACCCTTCCATTACTGTGGATCTGGAATCACTGGCAGAGAGAAAAGACATCAAGCCAGCAATGGCCACAACAGAGGTGACCCAAAGATCTATCAGTAAGAGACGGCAGCTTGGAGAAGTCTCAGATTGCATAGGCTCTGCAGTCAGGGAGGCAATAATGCTGATGAGAGACCAGTGGCCAGGGTGCTCAGTAAGTAGATTCCTGCACAAGAGACGCTGTGGTGGCAAAGACCATTGGGCTCCAGCTGGCATTGAGACAGTGCAGAAGGCCATAGTTTGGGCCTGTGTGATGCACACACTGCCTGTTGCACTTTATCATGCTCTTCCAGGAGACACTGATAGAGGAAATGCCCACCACAAAGACCACAGTGTGGTCAGCTCCCTGGTGGTCCAAGAGAAAAGGAGCAGTTGATCTACTTCCTCCCCTGAACAATGTCACATCCTCTCACTCACCCCTTTCACTGGACTTGTTTACCAGGCATTTCCTCCTTTTCCTTATTTTTTATTCTTTCATGGTCACTCAGAAGCCTCCTCACGGAGGACACTAGGCAAACACTTGCAACGGCCCCCACCCCTCCCTTAGCTCTATCTGTGACCTGACCTGAGCTCAGAAGATTCCTCTCTAGACTAACTCAACAGCTTTGCCCCCCATCCTGTACTGGAGACAGGTAACACGGACTTGGGGGGAACCTACACTTGGTGATGGGAGGGGAGATATAGAAGTAACCTGCAACCCTTGGAACCCCCACAGTGCTCTGGAGCAGACAGTGCCTATCTACCCAACACAGCCCAACCATGTAGGACAGTGGGATAATGGCAGAGGACCCCAATCATGGCAGTAACCTCACCACCATCCCCAGATACTCTCCTCTCCCCTCTAACTGCCCATATTTTGCAAGGGTACAGGATCTTTGTCACCATCCGATGCCAGTTTCTAGCTGAACTCAGCTGGTGCATTCCCAGAGCCAAAGGAATGGCATGAAGCAGGGGAGGCCATGCTGTAGGTGTTCCCACCTCCCTGTGACCATGAAAACTCACTCTGATCCCTGTTACCAATGGCACGGCCTCAGCTTAGGGCACTTAGTTAGGACTCCCCATGCTGCTCCTCAAAAAAAAACTATCGTTGGCTCATTCTTGGGGGGAGGGCTATTTGCTGAAGAATACAGAGAGCAGATGGGATGCTGGGGTTGGCCTGCTGATCTGATGGTTAAGAAGGCAGGCTTTAGAGAGTGGATTGACGCTCAAGACTTCTTTCTAGCTGTGTGACTTTAGACTCCCACGTGCACATTCTAAAGGACCTCGATAGTGTGGAATGATGTGTGCCTGGGAAGAAAGCCAGTAAGTCACAAGAAAAATGCCCACCTGCCCACCTGCCCACTAACTGAAAGGGTGAGTGCTTTTGAATATGTGCAGAAATTAGTTATATATTTCTTTTTCTTTTTTTTTTTTTTTTTTTTTTTTTTTTTTGTCTATTCGAGACCACGTCTCTCCTGTAGCCCCAGCTGGCCTGGAACTTGCTATGGAAACCAGACTGACTTCAGTGTCAGAGATCTGCCTGCTGAGTGTTGGAACTAAAAGCGTGTGTCGCCATGCTCCCAGCAGTTACATATTTCTTATCTAGAAAATACAGAAATGCCAAAGATAATTCTGCTTAACCCCTTCTCTGGCCCTTGTAGGAAAGGAGGACATGGGAGCAAGCTGTTTGAAACTTGATCCACTGGAGGAAGTGAAGACACTTCTGGGAGGAAGAGTGGGATTCCTGGGATCCAAGTTTACAGATTCATCATTCTAGTCTTTCAGGAATGAATCAGGGGCTGGAGGTGTGCCTCAGAGGTAGAGCACTTGCCAAGCAGGTAAGGCTTGGGGGGAGGGAGGAATTCTATCCCCAGCATTGTAAAAAGAAAGAAAAAGAAAAAGGAATGAGTCTCCCAGCTGCTCTGGAAGCTGAGGGAAAAAGAGAGTGCAAGTTTAAGGCCAGCTTGGGCAGCTTAATGAGAGCCTACCTCAAAATAAAAAGTAAAGAGGAAGGAAGGAAAGGAAGGAGGGAGGGAAGGAGGGGAGGTGGGTTTAAAAAAAAAAAAACTTTTACTAAGCGGTTCTGTGAATCGGAAATCTTCAATGAAACCATTGCCCATCCGGATAGTGTTGGGCATACAAGGAATGTTCTCAGTAGAACCTAGTACACAAAGCTCAGAGTTTCACCATAAATAAAAGATGTTCCACCATAGCCAGGTGAGTGGTGGCCCACAGCCTTTAATCCCAGCACTATGTAGCACCTTGAACACTTGAACTGAGCCCTCTTTGCTTTGTACAGAAGCCCAAGTCCAGAGAGGTTCAATGCCCTTAAAATCACAAAGCTAATTGCATAGCCAAGAGCCCAAAACCTGAACTTTTAGCTTTGGGCTCCTTCTATGGTCCCAGGCCAGGAACCCAGAAATGGTTTCTTCCGGTCACTCTCTCCTGTGCTCCCAAATTCTTCAAGTTCCCAGGAATATCTGGAAGCTTGCTGGGGAGAAAGAGCGTGCTGGGCAATCCTACAGGTAGAAATCCCAGAAGGAAGGCCAGAGCCTGATAGTCCTGGGCAGTCTCCCAAAGACCAGGGAGGAAGGAGCTGAGGCCAGGAGAAAGGGAGGGGGGAAGGG